ACAGTTCTAATGGTTGTTCCTCTCACAAAAGAACAACAGTGAGGGAATGTCCACTGGGGGGGGGGGGAGCAGCATCAAACTGGTGCATACAATTGAGAGATTGAAGCCGCACCCCTTTTTCATGTCTGCAATGTGTGCAATTCGTGCAATGCACATTAAAAGGGGGCAGGGCTGGAATTGCCAGGTTGCAGCCACCATTTTGACCCTGTTGACACCCATCTGTGGACACTCCCGTGTATTTGTGCTGGTTTTCACCAGACACTTAAAAAAAAACTTCCATACCCCAAATCCCAGACGTATGTAGGGTGATTCTAAGTTTCTTTCGTCAAAGATATAAAGACTTTGCCCAGCTGCAGAGGTCCAGCACCATGTTCAAGAACGAAATAGGGCTCTCCGAGAAAGGGCATTGGGTGACTGCGTTGCCACAGAGCACATGTCTTTGTGTGTTTAATCATGGTTTATTGAATAAACCATAATTAAAATACTAAGGTATAAGGCCCACAGTCTTGCACATCCGGAGTGCCTACAGTTAGGGATGGCGGATAGAGGTGAAGTTTGCAGTGTGGCCTCAGGAGTTTGAATGAATGACAGCTGCATTGAGGTGACATGTGAAGAAATTAGGAAAAGCAGGGGAGGCTTATTCTGATACTCAGTTTTGTACCAGTCCCAGTTCCTCCCTCATTCACTGTGTAACTTGCAGCGCAGAAATAGAAGCCCGTGTCAGTAGGCTGAAGACCTGTCAGATCCAAAGCCATTTTCTTGTTTTCTCCATCTTTCCACTTTGCTTTCAGCCGTTTTGTCCACTTCTCTGGGCTATCTTCAAGTTTTTCACTAGAACCGAAGGACCCAAGGACTTCTAGCTCTGTCCTGCCAGGCGCCTGGCTATACCAAAATATCTTGTAGCCTGCATCATTCACAGCACAGTTGAAAGAAACGTTTTTTCCTGGTGACTCTTTCACAAAGGTTGGAGACTGGGTAACTGTCACGGCAGAGCCACTGCCCACAAATGCTGAAGGAGAAGGAGAGAAAGATAACGGAAGGTCAGCTGGGGATGCTAGAGGGAACCCCGGACACTATGACGGAATGAGGTCAGTGGAGGACAGTGAACTCTGGAGGAAAACTGGGCTGTGCTGACAGAAAGGGGTCCAGGCCCCTTTCCCGGCACTTACCGCACCAGAAGGCAAGGAGGGAATGGAAGAAGCGGAGTTCAGGCACCCCACAGCCGGAGGGAAAAGGTGCTGCACCCATTTCAGCCTGGGGCTGTTAATGCAGCAGCTGGGGAGAGATCAGAATCTGCTGGGTTTCCGGTCACATGCTGGCAATGGGGGGGCCAGGGCTGCCGGGGCTGGCAGAGGAAACGGATGCCCCCCGCTCCCAGCGGCCTTTGCTCCTGAGCTGGGGAGGAAACAGGAGCAGGGCCTGGGCAGAAGTGGGAGTCCACCCTGGCCTTCCTGTGGAGGGTTTCTGCTGCTTGGAGAGTGGTTGGTTTGCTACACCTGCTGGCTTGGTTATTAATACTTCTAAGGGAAAGGGCATCCATGGTTTGCGTTGTTCCTTCAACAGTGAAGGCTCTAGATACCCAGCCAAAAATCTTTCTGTGCTTGTCCAATCACACTGGGCAAGATTTAATTTGGCTTTGAACTCAGTTCCCAATGTCCTTCTGAGCATGTTGTCTTTTCTGTCACTGTCAGTAACTGTATTTCTAGTCCTTAAGGCTGCAGGAATCAGGTTAGAATTGTAGAGGTGATGGCTGTGAAATCTCAGAAGAGTTTGGAGGGTCAGAGAGATTTCAGTGTGTAGAGGACAGTTCTAATGGTTGTTCCTCTCACAAAAGAACAACAGTGAGGGAATGTCCACTGGCGGAGGGCCAACAAACTGGTGGATATGATTGAGAGATTGAAGCCACACCTCTTTTTCATGTGTGCAATGTGTGCAGTGTGTGGAATGCATATTAAAAGGGGGCAGGGCCTGAACTGTCGGGTTGCAGTGTCAGGGGAGAGATGGGAGGGGGTGTGCCCAGGCCAGCCCAAAGTGGCCAATAGGGTGTGGGCTGATGTTATCCATGTGGGTCACCTGAGTTCAGCACCAATTGTGGCGGAAGCTGGACGGGCCTACTGTTGAACCAGAACAATTAAGGAATGCTTCAGGTGCTTCAGCCATCGGCAGCAGATTGGATGGGCAGTAACATGAGGACGTGGAAGAAAAAAGAGGTTGCTGGGACATGTTGGTGCCATGGATAGTTGCGAGCAGGGAAGAGCTGTGCATAGAGCAACTGTTTTGGATCTGTGGGCAACCAGGCTTGAAAAAAGCTTCCCTGCCCTGTCAGATCTGTCTCAGCCGTGTCAGATTTGTGTGAGTTCAGAAGAGGGCTACCAAGAGTGTGAAGGGTCTGGAAAAGAAGCCGAATGACACCCTGGCTTTGGGTGGGGCGTGGACGAAGCATACTGGAGCCCATTTAAGTTAGAAGGGGAAAAAGAACCTTGGTTTCCTGGCACCTGCATCTTTCATGAGACCCTTGCAATCAGCAGCAGCAGCACCACCACCACCCCAATAACTCCTGATCATTAAGAGCAGCTCTTTCTTGATTCTCTTTCCTCCCCATTCCCTGGTGCTGAGAGAGTCAGGGACATGGGAACAGTGCAATTCAGAAGTAGCCAAAGTCAGCTAATTGAATCTATCAGAGTCACTCAAAAGTGTCTGGGATTAAAGAGGCTACATGAGTGAGGGCAACTCATCCCACTGGGTGTTTAGATAGATCCCAGTCACTGATATACCTCCCTGCTCTATTCCCCTCTCTGGGGCAGTTTTTGGTCTCCTGATCCCTCCATGACTTCCTCCTTGTAGCCATGGACCCCCATTGTGTGGTCTGCACCCAACATAGTGACTTGATCCTAGATTTCCTGGCCCTGTTTGTGATGCCATCATGCATGGAAGACAATCACAGATGTCAACAATTCTGGGTAGGCTCCATTTTCTTAGCATCTTTGTTCAGGTAGTTCAG